AAAGAGGGTTGCAGTGGATTAATGTTGCTCACACAGCCTCTTCAAGCCTTCCTAAGCCTCCCAAGTATAGTAGCTGGGATTCCAGTGGCACACCACCACACACAACCCCTAATTTTAAAAGATAAAGAATAATCTGTCCTGCAACAATTTAATGTTATTGATACATTCACAACTCTTAAATGTTTAATCTTCTCTTTTACTTAATCTATCAGAAAAATTTATTCACTAAGGACAGGAATCAAACTGCATGGAAATAAATATACATATTGATTATATTTTTTCCCAACTCTGATCTTTGATAAAACACTTGTACATCCAAGCCCTGTATTTATTATAACCCCATGTACTAGACATATAAAAAATGATGATTCCTAGCCCTCAGATGTGAAAGTTTTACCATGTGATCAATTAATGCTTTAAGCCATCTGGTTTACATTTTGTTCTAGATTTTCTTTTTTAACATAGCTATAAGCTACATTCAAATAAGCCAGAGTGAGTTTAGTAGATATTCACTTTGCAGTCCTATAGATTCTACCTTGTCTTCATCCATTAGAAGATTCTCAATGGCCAGAGTTCTAACATAAGCTCAAATGTGCAAGATTAGAAAACTTCTTTTCCTGGTTATTTCAGATTAAAGATAAACACTTCCTCCTTTTTAAGGATAGAATACAGGGCTCACTGATAACAAAGTAGACCCACTACAAAGGACTTATCAGCCCACTCCTCCAGCCTTTGGTAAATGGAAGTATGACACTGCTATTTTTTCTGCTGGTTACTTTGAGTTTAATACCAGTCAGGTATGCTAGGTAGTGGCCTCTGAACGGAGAGTTGGCAGGGTTATGAGTAAACATGGGAATAAATGAGAGGGTGAGCAGCCAGCCTCGCCTGACTAGTCATAAAGCTCTTGCTCAGTATAACAACTATTTCATTATTCCAGTAATAATGTAACTCTAAAACAGGTTTGGTGGTGCAGGCCTGTAATTCCAGCAATTTGGGAGGCTGAGGCAGGGAACTTAGACAATGTCTCAAAATAAAAAGGATTGGGATGTAGCTCAGTTGGAGAGAGCCGAGTTCGAAGAAACCCCCACAAAACAAACAAGAAACCCTACAATTCTGTATTCCTTAATTGTGATCATATATATATATAAAACTATGGCTGCTATGTTGACTACATCTGTAGAACAACAGTTATACAAATAACTTAAAGGATTGGGGATGTAGCCAGTGGTACAGGATTCAATTTTTTACTACCAAACAAAAACAAAAAACCCTAATTTTATTGTGAATCAATTATAATGCAAATTTAACATTTTTTTTAAAAAAATTTAGATATTCTCTTAAATTAAAAGAAATTTCAGAAGACTTATTCATGGGATTAGGGGTGGTATATACCAACAAGAAGAAATGCAATGCTTGCCAAAAATTCACAATTTAATATATACTGAATGAGTACACCATAAAATATGTGAAAATCTGCTGGTGAATACAAATCCTAACAGTTTCAGTTGTCTGAAGAGCTCCTATATAAACAGACATAAAGGCCCCACCCATTCTGGCACTGACTTCAGGGGGAGATAAATAAAATTTAGAGGATTAATTTTTTTCAGTATCTGTTGGCAATCTTTAAAATAGGCACTCAATAAACTTGATATAAAAAAACCCCACTTTTAAGCATGTGGCAAATTGGAATAATTGAAGAAAGCTTCAAAACTAGAGGATGTTTCAAATTTTTCCTTACAAAACTGAGAAACTAAATAAAAGATTCAAGAGAATACAAGTCTATAACTGTGCTTTAAATATTTCAATTTATGGGAAAGCTCTATTGTTAGAGCTCCTATTTTAACTGGTTAAGTTTGTATTCTATACCAGTATGGAATAAAATTGAGATCACTTATAATATAAAATTCAAACTGGGTGAAACATTGATAAGAATGAAGACTAATTATAGAATGGTTTTGTTATAGAAAAAAATCTTTGCCAAAGAAAAGCATTCTGAATGCAAATGTTAAAGCATCTGAGCTAAAATAGTAATTCCCACACTTAAAAAAAAAAGAGACTATTCTCCATTTAACAGGATATGTTCTAAACTTATTTTCTTTTGCAAAACTGGTTCTAGAGACAGGAGTCAATAGAGGATATGAATTTAAACTTTACTAGCCTCCAAAGAACTGCCATCTTCATCACATTAACAGATGAATATTAAACAGCTAACAATTTTTTAAAAAATACCTATTTAATAGTTCTGCCCCCCCAAAACAATTTGATCAATAGAATATTTAAGAAACTATACAATTCAACAATATTGGGATTATAGGTATGCACCACCATGCCTGGCCTTGAACTATTTTTGTTGAAGGATTCGACAGGGAAAGAGTAAGGGATGATGTTGCCCATAAGATTTATTGGCCTGCACAAAGAAAGCATGAAATCAGCCCCAAGTAAAATGTTCAACTTCTTGTGTAGCTTAAATAGAGATAACACTGAAAGACAGCCAAGTGAAGAGTTAATTAGAAAATTACATACTCTTTAGGTTGGGGAGGACAGGCTAAAAATAAACATTATCACTATATAAATATTACAAGTCATTAGAATTGGTGAGTGTGTTCTGGATTTACAGAAAAAAGTCCTAATAGTAAATTCTTAATTCAATATTAAGAAATGGATCTGGCACCCTGAAAATTAAAAGTAAAAACAAAAAACAAACTTTAGGGCTGGGGATGTAGCTCAAGCGGCAGTGCGCCTGGCATGCGTGCGGCCTGGGTTCAATCCTCAGTGCCACATAACAAAGATGTTGTGTCCGCCCAAAACTAAAAAAATAAATATTAAAATTCTCTCTTAAACAAACAACAACTTTAAAAAGCAGTGATCAAACTATATCTAGTATGAATAGTTCAAGTAAGTACAACTTTGCTACAATAAACATCACAGGAAGAAAAGAACAAATATCTTTCTTTTTAAAAAGGGGAAGAACAGCCCCTAATGCTCAACATGTAAATATACTCTCAAATATTCAAGATACTAAAAATTTGAAGAAAATTCATTCCAAATACTTCTAATTTTTTTTAAGAAAAAACTAAATGCTTCACTTTCAAAAAATATTATATACTAGATAAACAAAATAGTAAATAACTGCCAAACCACCACAGGTAGATTAACTCTATGTGTAATGTTTGGAACCAGAAGTATTTTGATTCCATATTTTTGAACATCTTCCCTAAACATAACACATTTAGGAGATGGGTCCCCTCCCAAGTCGGAACACAGAATTCATTTACTTTTCATGTATATTTTA